AACCTAATTTCCTATCTCTAAGACTTATGAAAAAAAATCTAGGGCAATGCCCAGTTAGGAGATGGATGGGGAAAAAACCCATTTACTGAGTAAACTCCAAAACACATGCAACAGACATAAATAATAGCAAGATAGCAGTAGAGAGATCAGGAAAAATCAATGCTGCAGCTGGTTAGTGAATAGATACAAAACCCGGGGGTCTATGTGCTTGCTCTTCTTAGCTGTGCATTCAGAATGGACTGCAAACCAGCCTTGTATTTCTATTGTCAGTATGCTTCTGAGAGGCTGGTTTCCAGTTTGCTCTGAGGTTCGGGTGTGTAAACAATGGTCACATGAAGATACTCAGGCCTCCATTGGAAAGTTTTTGCTCCTTGAGACACTGAGAGTCCATTGATGATAGCCTTGCATGATCTCATTTCAGTAGAGACTTTTTCCAACTCTAACTTGAAATTTGATTGAGACATGGCTGCTATACTCTTTCCTTGAGTATGTCTGTTTTGATGACTATCAAAGCCTTGCAGCATTTTGTTCCCTTTTCCTTGAGGTTTAGCATAAGATTACTATTAAAAGGGATTCATATAGCATCTGTTGTATCTTCTTGTTTTCTACTGTTTAAAAGTAGAGTTCAAAAGAGAATCAAGGCTTGACCTTTAATCATCTGATATTCATTTTGAAGTTATGATGGTTAATGCATAATTCATTTGGTAAATGAAAAGAGAAGTGTTAGATAATCACCCCCTCGGCTCCCTCCCTTACCCAGAGATAGTGAAATCCTGGATTTGACTGGCACCTTAATCTTGTTGACCTTGATCACACTGCAGAACTAATATCAGTCGCGGCATGTTACCCCTTACTAGTATCCACTTATATATCATACTCTGTGAAAGCTTTGTGGATAGTATGGGACAGGTATCTCTTCTTATATCAAATACCACATAAGTAGCATATCTCAGTACTAGTATAACTGAGAATATGTAGCACAGACTATATGTATATATACACGTTCGTGTCAGACTGTCTTGTGGAATTTTCACCAGATGCCAAAACAATTTTACTGTAGCTGTAAATAGTATTTTGTTTGGTTCAAAGATAGCTCTAAATATTTTCAGATTTTGTGATTTTATTAGTCATTTGGTATGAAATGAGGTAATGTCAATAAAAGTGTCTAAGATTTACATTTCCTATGCCCAAGCTATACATATACCTAGATGTATAACTGAATGTACTAATATCATTATATGCTGACCAGGTACACAAGTGCCTGTGCATAGGCCAAATAATTGTGAGCTAACAGAATGTCTGTGATACAGGTATATACTACATATATCCAGCAGATACCTGCAAGGTGCTCTATGTGTCTGTGCTGGCAGATGGTATGTGGTAAATATAGACATAGGTGAAGAAATGAGCCATGTTCAAGCTATTTATTTGCTGGAGTGGGCAGGGATGCTGTGTTGGTTTTATGGAGATACTTATAAATCGCGTAGATGAGAAGAGCATATTTTGAAATGTTAAGAAATCTGTTAACTTTTCATAAGTTATTCAGTTTGAGGCTATTTACTGGGGACTGAATGTGCCCATATTTTTGTTTCCATTTTAGAGCAGTCGCATTTATAAATTTATAATAAGGATAAAGATAAATAATCAATAAATCCACTTTTTCTGTATGTATAAAAAGTGGATTTTCAAACATGCCACACCNCGTTAATCCAATAACAAGACATCAGTAAAATGTAGCCAAATGCTGAGCATCTTCAAATTTGATGAAAAAATCATATAAATTAAACTTTAAGACTATTTTTCACAAAATTTCTCTGCAGACTGGTTAATTTTTTATTTTTGTAAAATTATCCAGCATTATGTAAAGATAATTTTTCTCACCAGAATGATCCAAATGTATCTTTACTCAACTTTTTAATTAATTTGAGATACCACTGCCTAGGGCAGCTGCATTTTCATGATGGCCATGTTTTCATTTTAGGGCAAGTTGTTTATGTTTGATAAGGTGTTAAAACCAAATATTACACAAGAGTCTGTGTATGAGGTAGCAGCAAAGCCCATTGTTGCTGGTAAGTATTTAGTTTGTTTTAAATTTTAAGTATTTGTGAAAGTGTTTCGTATTTTTTTTCTTGAAAATCTGGTTATTCTCAGATTTACTTACAGCTGTATTTATATCCATGCATATGCACTAACATAAACATACTCGTTCAATACACCAATTTATTAAATAACATTAAGTTATTTATCTGACATTACAAAAAGACAATTGTAAAAACCAACTAAAAAGGAATATATTAGATTTATCTGCAGCAACAGACTTGAATCATAAGTGGGATCATTTAACTGGTCCCTTAAACCAGTCTCCTATTCAACTGAGAGAATTGTAGATGACTGTTCAGAATATAAAGGGGGGGGGGAGAGGCTTGCCTAGTGGAACTTAAAATCAGAGGTACAGACTTAATAACACTGACATAGCATCAAGTAGACTTTGTTGAATGTAGTTCATTTTCCTATTCAAAAAAGAAAGAGGAAAGATTATTGATCATTAACCTTCCTTGCTTCATGCATAAATCTCAACATTGGGGATAGGCTTAATGAAGTTTATGTTGAGTTATTTGACCTTGTGTTCATCATTGAGGTCAGCAGCCAGAAATTTTTTGGCACTTCACTGGTGATCTCTGATGACTAAGCTGTATCAGACATATTGTCTTGTGCGTTTCAGGTTTGTTGGCAATTAGGTTATACCTGAATAAACCTGTCTGGATTTTGATTGATGAGGCCTACGGAAATGGTTATTTGAAAGAGTGGATTATTTTGTTTATGGAGTTTTTAAATAAGTTAACTACAAGTCATGTACTAGTACCAGTGTCATATATTATACAAGCGCTTAAGATAAACATTTCTCTTTTTTTAGTTAAAAAGGATTTCATAGTAAACAGTACACTGTGTTAAACTTGATCTACTTTCAAGCTAATAGTATTAGGTCTTTGCATATCAAGTTTTAACTTCAGCCTAAAGTGGCCCAACTGCCAAAACCCATAGGTACAACAAAGGCATCTTTAAAGCAGAAGTAGTTACAAGTAAATCAATCAGACCATTAACTTGATATTAAAACTGCTTTCTGAAGTTTCAGGGTTAAAGTTGAATCAGATATGAACAGCCTCTTAGTCTGTTTAAATGATAACTGTAAAAGCTATTTCATGTCCTATTCTGTAGTGCAGAAATGGTAGTTTGATCATCTGGAGACTGGAGACCTTTACTCATTGGGGTACTAGACTTTTTATCTGTTGTGGAAAATTTGCTGGCTTGACTAATACTATGGTAGTGGAAGTATGAAAATAAATAATTCTTTTTGGTTACAATCATTAGACATTACGTTCATTTGACTCAAAGATAAAAAAAAATAGGTGCTTAACTGCTTTAACAGTTGGATGTGCTTGAATTCTTCTTGTCAGTGGACAGGCTTACTAGTAACTCAACCAGGTTCAGAGAGTATAGCCTCATCTCATTCTTTGCTCTGTGTATAGCCAGTGAATAATGCCTAGTCACTCTGGATAAGTTATGTTGATTTTGTTGAAATCACTGTTGTACTTTTTTATGCAGGACAATGTTGTTTTATCTTTCCTTTTTGACCAAATCATAATAAAATCAGTATTGTGAAGTGTATTGAATAGCTTGTCTTGTTTTTGTCAGTTAATACCAAGTATTTTAAGGTTTTAACCTACAGTTCTAAGCATCGATAAGTAATGGTCCGATACCCTCTCCTGGCTTATTCCTGGTGATTCTAAGTAAGTACTAGTAAACAGCTGTGATGACATGATGTGCAATATGGGTCTGTGGACTTTACCAGTGGACCAATTAGCACTGAGAGGAGAACTCTTTAAGTGAGCATAAAGAAAACAGTATTGATCATGTTAATGAGATGATCATGATGGACTTTTTCTTTACTAGCACTAGTATATATAATATTTGATTGGCATCAATGTGATCTCTTATACAGTTAACTAAGGTAATCAGGTTCTTAAGAAAAAGGGAACCTAATGACAGATGTTTTTGTATGTGGTGCCTCAACACTGAGAAAAGACCCATTTCCCCCTCAGTAATGAGGAAAGTTGTGGTTCAGTGCATTACGGACAGTGTCATTTGTTATGTCACAAAATGACATAAATTGGCAGTCCACTACAATAGCAGTTATCACATCAGAGGAAGTGCTGTAGGGTATAGGTGTCTTGGTTCTGATACATTCCCCAGGGCTCCCTCTAAGACTGGAAATACCAGGAATAAAAGTGTACTTTTCAAAATGAAAATTCTGGAAAATATTTGACATTTGATTGAGAAATTGTTGGTTGATGACGATCAGCTTGCACAACCCTGGGTAGCTTCAGTTGTAATATTTCTTACAAAATTAAGGCCTGTAAGGCAAGTTACACTGATAGCAAACTTACCCAGGCAGAAAAATTTAACTAAAAATTTGCTGCGATTTAGCAATATGTACACAGATGTGAGTTTTCTCAGAATATTGTAGAGAGAAGGAGGGAATTCAGTTTCTTCTTTTTCTCAGGTAAGCAAACAGCATGCATCTATAATACCTCATAAATCATCCACCTTTCCCATTTTAGAAAGTCACAAATCAGGATGTAAAGGACATAAATTATGACGGTTAAAATTGCAGTTGGGAT